TTTGAATAAAAAAATATAAAATTAACATTCTTATTTATTTCTTTTCTCTATTTGGATGGGGTCTACAATCTGTATGACCCATTAACCCTACCCTTTAACCTGAAGAGCTCCTCGATCAAGTGGCCTGAAAAATTACGAGGAACAAAAACAAAAAAGAAAAAAAGAAAAAAAAGGAAGTTATTATTATAGACTCTGTTGTAAAATAATGAAAAACAAGTAGAAAAAGCAATGTAACAGAGAGACAAAAGGAGACAGAGATGATAAGGAGTTTTATTGTTTTTCTTTCTTCTATATATGTATTTTTTTGTATAATGTAACAAGCTCTAGATGTAAGATAATAGTGTTGTTTGAGTTACAAAAATTCTAAAAATTATAATACAAGAGTTAACCGCAACTAAATAGAAATAAATTGAGAAAAAATATAAATAAAGATTTTTAATTTCGTTTTTTTTTCCATTACTATAAATCTTTTCCATGCAACATAACAAGCTCTAGATATTGGATAGTAAAGTTGTTAAAGTTACAAGAATTATAAAAATTATAATACAAGAGTTATCATTATTAAATAAAAATAATCAAGAAAGAAGGTTCATCTGTATATACATATATGTGTATATATATATATATATATATATTACTCCCACACTAATCATGTAGGGAGTGCTTGTGCACTCGGTAGAATGTATTGTGCACATAGCATTACTCAAAACTTTCAAAAAGGTTCATCTGAATAGCTTTTACACGTAATCTTTGTTGTAACCAAACAAGAATGAATACAACAATAATAGTGTAATTTATATCACCTGGATAATCAACCTCAGGAACCTACTACAAGGAATATTCCTTAGAGGAAATTTGGAAAATTCAACTGACAAAATGCCCATCTCCATTGTCCACAAACCTACCCTTCACTCCATCATTCTCTACTTTTTCAAAACTGTCTTCTTCTACTAGTACCACCTGCGCTTGTGTACCAATCAATTATGGCCTTATCATCATTAGTCAATTAGGTCCCCAACCTTTCCATTGCAGCTGTACCGCACTAAGTAACCCCACTCACCCTCATTCCCGTACTTCCTCCATATGACATTCTGTGTCACCTCTATGCTTGCCAGCATGTCTCAGCAATCAAGATCTTAGGGCCATCTTCCTCAACCAGAAAAATGTCATTCATAGTTGTTATTGGCAATCCGTATGGTAAAATACATCTACAATTAATGAAAAATATTTTTGTATGCTCTTATACTTTTCATCTTTTCTCTAACCTAGACTGTACACTGAGTATGCCCTTTTGGCTTATTCCAAGAATAATATTTCTTATTTTATGCTCAAGGGAGATCTAAGAGGGTGCAGACATTATTTACTCAACCTCGGTCTCTTTAGAAATGTTCTTTGTGGAATTCGAATTTGGTGGAACCATTTTGGTTGAACTCATAGCAGAGTTTGCTGAGTTCTTTGGCCAAGACTGGTGCTCCGCAATAAAACACTCCTGTTCCAGAAAATGAAGATCAATGTCAACAAAATGGAAGAGGGAGCAAATAGCCATCATTTTCTTATGTGTAGTGTCGTAGTGAGGAGTTAAGGTCACTCACCTATCCTACCATTGCAATGCTTGGAACTTAACTTAGAAAGAACCTTCTTCCATTTAGGCCTCGCAAAATGGGTCCGAACCTGATGAAATAAAACAAGGAATGGTTAGTAATTATCTATTCGAACCTTAAAGAGAATGTCTTCAGTTCACTGTAGGAATTGTTAAAACATCATCAAGGCCCTGCCTCCATTAATGCATGCAACTGACTGGTGATTCACATCCAAAGAGGTTTTTGAGACAAAAATATTGATTGCAGTCTAATGCCACAAGAAATTTGGAATGTGTTGTTTGAAATCCTACAAGGCAATCAAAAGTTGGATGAAGTAGAGAATTAAAATGACAGGTGAAATCATACCCTAGTCCCAGAAACAATGTCAAGTCCGTTCTTAGCATGATTTAGCGCTTGGACCATAGTGATGAGAGCCGAACGGGCATCCCCTTCCTCATACACACTAGTCAAATAGTTGTGCATTTCAATGACACCCTAGGGTTGAAAGTTACCAGTTAACAATTAAGGGATTTAAGAGAATTAAAACAAAAAAAAACTTTTATGATCAAATCTTTTACCCTTTGATCAAGCTCTGCAACTTCATCCATGACACCTTTGAACCAATCAAATGAACCTTGCTCCCTAGTTACCCAGTAGAAGTAGGCATTTGTAGTCTTGAGTGCTTTCTTTCGTTTTGGAGTGGTGAAATCATTGCTTCCTAAACTTAGGTCTGATGTCCTACTTAAATCCGATAAAGAATCCTGTAGTTGAAACGTATGATTTCAAAATTTGAATAGAAACATTGTAAACACCCTACTTGAAGGAAATATAAGAAATGAAATATTAACAGCCTAGCACAGGTTACTTACTGCCTGCTCCTCCATCTTAACAATGTTGTTAAGCAGATCTTTCAAAATGCTGATGAAAGGTGTGGCACCAATGCCAAGACCAACAAGAAGCAGGACATCATACTTCCGGTAGTCTTGGGCAGCGGCACCGTAAGGCCCATCAATTCTGAGTTTCGGCAAACTGTTTGCAAAAAAGGGGAAAAAAATGAAAAAGAAAAAGAAAACTCTAATTACTAAACTAAATGCTTCCAATATAAGGTGTGAATCATAAGAAATATCAGCAGAATTAAAGTACCTTTTCTTTGTTGTCTCATCTGCCCGTAGAAGCCCACTTTTCCCAGCTACAGGAGCTTCACAGGCCTCTGAGAATACCCTTTTAAGCTCTTGGGTCCAGTCACCTAGCTGACGGATGTGAACACTAAGATAGTCATCACCAGGAGCAGATGTAATGGAAAATGGATGCCTGCATAAAAACAAATGTTGAAAAGTTAAGGAACCAGGTGTGGCAGCCATATAGAAAATAAGACCTTAATTCCTGTTGTTGAATACCATTCAAAAGGAGAAACGGCAGGGCATTGGACAAACATATATTGCCCACTCTTGTAGTGAAATTGAGGTGGCTTAGACATTTGTAATGTGAGAACATTTCCTGGATAAATTGCAACCTATATAATTCAAGTAGACGAGAAGATCAACAGTCAGAATAAATATCATATGGGAAATTGGCTTAAATTATATCAAAAAAAAAAAAGGGCTTAAATTATGCATTTACATGTACTAAACAGAGGCATTAAAATATGATAAAGAAAGCTACGCAAGAATATATGCAATTTGTCCATGCACGCTGAATCAGTGGAAGGAGGTTACATGTACTAAACAAAGGCATTAAAATATGATAAAGAAAGCTACGCAAGAATATATGCAATTTGTCCATGCACGCTGAATCAGTGGAAGGAGGTTACATGTACTAAACACAGGCATTAAAATATGATAAAGAAAGCTACGCAAGAATATATGCAATTTGTCCATGCATGCTGAATCAGTGGAAGGAGGGCAGATAGGAATGTGGATGAGCTCACCATCAAAAGCCTGACAGTATAGAAACCAGAACGAAAAAATCTCAGGGTCCTTTCTCCAGCATATAACAAAACTGGAACAGCAAGATACATCCATGTCTGCAGCAGAAATTCCATGAACCTTTCAGTCAGATCATGTTCAATGAAATGTTGTGCACCTATTTCTCAAGATATCATCAATAAGTCAGCTTAATAAAAGATTCAAAAAATATTTACCGTCTTCTTGTACCATTTGTGTACAAGATAGAGGAAGTTGCCATGGATGATGAGCAAGATGTAGACAATGATAAACAGATGATGTGAATACCAAAAGGCATTGAAGCCAGTGATTCTATCAAAGGGCTTGGGTAGCTTGATAAGGTTCCTCCTAAACCATCTCGTTGCTAGTGTGAAGGCAATTGTCATGAAGATAATCATAAGAACTCCTGTCACTCCCTCCGGCCCTTTAAGCAGATCTATGTATGTAGGTTTATGGGGTCCAAAGTCATATCTCAAATCGTTATCATAATTGACTGTAGAAGAATGAATAAGCCTTGGGAAGTCACATGCTAGATGGTCACCGGCGTGGAGAATGATACCAATCACAATTGCTGCAGCTATTGTCTGCAAAATGGAGAAAAGGAATACCCAATTAGACTCTGTAGTTATGAAAAATTAATATATAATGCATCAAGGCAACTGGAGGCTGCTAAGCCCAGAATTAATTTTCCACATACAACAGCTTCCATTCTGAGAACCCAATTACATTTTTAAGGATCAAATTATTCATAAGTTATAACATTTGTCATTAACGGTCTCCAAAGACAGTAAACATATTGCAAAATCTTCTGTGTCTCCTACTGCAGTACCCAGAATAATGTCTTTGTTTTTGTGAAAGGCATTTGGATTTCTAACACGCTAAATGAAGTATGCAAGTGTGACCCATGCCTGGAAAGTGAAAGGCATATTTTGTGAATCTAGGAAGTATAATTTAAAAAGGGGAATGTGACATTCTGGTCCATATGGACGGCAGAAATCATTCAATCTGGGACCCATAAGTCTACCCGTATGTCTTCCAAAAAGAAAACTTTTGATCATCAGAATTAGTATTTCAAATCACCTATAATATTCATCCTCCGTATATTCACCTATGATCTAAACCTGCAACTGTTGTGTTGACAATTGTTATCCAGCAGCATTACCCAAAACTGGCGTGCAAACCTTCTATTTTCACCAGCTAAATGTCACCACGAGAGGAAGGGCAGGTGAGGTTAACCCATTCAAGGCATGATGCTATAGATAAATTAGAGAATCTGACCGTCACTATAACACCTAAAATATTTCTTCACAGTGACTATGGTTCAATTGTACACCTAATTTTCCTTAATTTCACACTAAAGTAAAAAGAAACCATAGAGCTGTTTAATTGTCAACTTTTGCTGCCGTAATGCTCACTCCAATACATCATGCAATGAGTTTCAATGGATGAGATTAATCATCACGTTGACTTTCTATCAAAAATCTTCACCTGGGACCCATACGATAACCATATAAAACAAGAAATAATAGAGAGAGAGTTAGTGAGGGTGCCCACCTTGTGAAAGTTGATATTGTCGTCAAAAGGGACAAAGTAACCCAACTTGGTGGAACGAAGCCAAGTAATGGTGTTTCTGCAAACGGGCAAGAGGATAAGAGCCATGTTGAACTTCAACGTCTCTGCTGCTCCCTTTGCTGTAAGGAGGCAATAACCCATGACCTTAAAAGCGGGCTTCTGTTTGTATTGTAAGAACTTCCATGTGAAGAGCCCTACCAATATCATAATCCACAGTGACAGAACCCAAAGCCTCTTCCAATTTTCTTGCAGATAATACAAAAACTCTGTGCTCATCCTTCTGATTGTACTCTTTTTCCTTAGCCCTTGAAGGTTCTGGCTTAAAGCTTGGCTCGTATAGCTTAGCGCTTGACTGTAGCTCAGATATGTGTCCCTTTGCAAGAGGAGAGTTTCTAGCTGCCATAACTGCATCATTATCGTCACCCACCAAATGCAATAGAAATCAGTATCAGCAAAACTTAATCATCAAGGCAAGTTATTATCTTGATCGTGTTAACTCATTACAGTACTATACAAGTGATCCATAATGCAGCACGCGAACGAGAAAGTGGGCAGAACGCGTAATTGGGAGGAATAAAAACGCAGAAAGACAAACAAATGTCAGGGCCACAACTTGATAGTAACTTGAGTTCAAAGGCCAATCAATGACTCGTGAAGTGATATGATCACGTGACATGTATGCAGTGGCATCAGAATTCACTACCCCTCAATGTATGACCAAATGACGTCAATGCCCTTGCCATACTTTTTTTTTTCTTGACAAAAATTGTATTCCTTATAATAGTTAACGAAAAAAGAAACTTTCGTTTTGCTACCATTATAAATAGGAAAATGATTTTTTGTATAATTCTTTTATTTCATTTTTTTTATATAATTTGATATATTATTAAAATAATTAATTTTTTTAATTTATATAAGACTCATAATATTGAATATATTTATTTATTTAATAATATATAAAAATTATATAAAAAGATTGACAAACCACCCCTAAAATATGCAGCAACAAAGTAAATATTAGTTTTATCGATGCATACGTGTAACCAAACAGAAGTCATTGTTTCTATTGACTATTTCCGAACAAAAGGAAAAACAAAAAGTTTAGGTAATGTGTATGACGAATCTCAACTTTGACAAACTTTTAAATATTATTAAACATTCGATTATTTTTTTCGATATAGAATACCAAGTTTGAATTCATTAAGATTATTATATATGTAATTAATCACAATCTTTTAATTAAAATACTCCCAATTTACGACTCAGCCCGTTTTTATGTTGAACAATAATACTGGTCGTCACCACTTTACCTAACTCGGATGTAAATTAACCAGCTAGCGCAAGTCTCTCATCAAATTTCATATTATTTATGTTCCATATGACTATACTTAATAGCGGAACAAGAAACGAAAATTTGAATGAGTAAAGGAATGTACAACCTCCCAATCCTAGACGGCGAAGGGAAAGAATTAAAGTGTTAAAAACCGTTGAACTACCACAAGTTTCAATTGGATAATGACATGCCTATATTTCTTTCATACAATTTTCATTTACAATTTTTATATTATATATTTTAAATATATATATACATATAATATTATAACTTTTAATAATATAAAAAAATTTTAAAAAAAATTAAAAAAAATTTACAAAAAAGATTGCATAATGTATAGTCTATCTTAAAAATTTTTAATCTCTAAAAATTTATCCCTCAATTATTTTTTGTTTCAATTGTATATAAGCTTGTTTTACCAAATTGAATTAAGCCTTCCCATAAAGAAAAAAACAAAAAAGAGCTAATAATTATTCCTACTTGATCTTTCTTCCGTCAAGCACAGTTGAACAAACCCAATTGGGAACCTAATTGTTTGAAGATTTCTTCAATTCTTTCGCCTAACGATGGACCTAGCTAGGAAGAAATGGTCCGACTCAAATACCGTCAGTGTCACCCTTGCTTATAAAAACTTCCAAAATTTCAAGTCGCAATTAATGAAAAAAGAGAAAGAAAAATGTGCTCCACCCGACTAAATAACTTATTAATTAAATATTTAGGTAAAAGAAAGAGAATCTCATTTGTGTCAGAAAAATGAAGTCTGTTGATGGAGTACCCACCTCAATGTAGCCTAGTCTCTCAGGGTCCAACTCTTCCATGATCAGAGCTGCATATTCCTCTGCTTGTTCCTTCAATCTCGATAATTTGTTTGCAGAAGCACTCAGCATGATTATCTATCCAACAATCAATTTTTTACAAAGATAAATAAAAGTAGTTTATGAATTCAAAGTTATTAATGTCATATATAATAAAACAGTGTATTGACCACCAAAAATACCGTAACCAATCCCACATTAAACAAAAGTAATTAATCGTTTGAAATCTGAATAATACTCTAAAATATCCAAACTCCAAAACCCCTTTGGATATCAACTTATCCTTCAAAAATTAGTAAATGAGAGATGCTTGGGAACACGGCTTAAAGTGAGAGGCCGACGAAGACAATTGAAAATTTCTTCCATTCACTTTAATTGCTATTATTTATTATATTGGAGCAGTTAGATTCAGAATTTCTTTGGTTAATTAAAAGGGGTCACCGAATCCTCGCCAAACCTTGATTATAATAAAATCCCAAACAAATAATGACAACCTGTAAACTAGAGTTTTTCTCCGTAACATAATTCTCCCTTTTATCTCCCTTCGACCAGTAAATAAAAAAGGTCAGCATCGGAATTTCCATGCATGTTATCTAGATTTTGGAAACTCAGTTTTATTATAATCAGACTGAGTCACCTACTTGATTATCTAAGAATTATTGTCAGAAATTATAGGAGCAAAAGATAGTTTTAGTTCACTAAATTATTAATTAATATATATATACCTCTTTTACGTCCTCCTCTGCTATTCTTCCATCTTCGTTCTTGTCCACACTGAAACATGGTAATCAGGAATAAAAGATAATAATTATTAAATTATTAAATAAATTAATCATCGGTACTTTTCACATCCAAAGACGACTTTATCCTTTCTTTCTTAAGTTGAGGGGTTTTGTGACCTGTCTTTATTAAATTAATTAAATTACTGATAAAAAAGGGGAATAAAGTGATTGAACCGAAGATTAATGAATAATTAAAGCATACATGTCAAAGAAGATCTGGAGCCGAGAATCGAAACTTTGATCGGCGATTTGGGACCAATATTCATAAAGCTCATCTCCGCTGATTTTCTCGACTTTCAATCTCCTTCTCCTGCTCAATGCGTCGAACAGTTCTAATGCGAATTCCTCTGAATCTTTCATTCCTTCACGATAGAGGAAAAACTAAATAAGAAAACACGAGAAGAAGAAAGTGATAATTTAAATAAAATTTACTTTGTAGACTCCATTCCAGAAAAAAAGAAAATAATTTTTGAAAATGGAAAAAAAAAAAATTAGAAGATAAGAAGAAGAAAATGCCAACCAATGCATTGCGCGAAATCTGCGCGGTAGAGGAAGCCGTCTTTGGCGAATTTCTCGAAATTTTTTTGTACTTCGTCCCAGCCGTTGGCTTTGTTATTGCTGATGAATCTGAGTCCACGGAGTGCCTTTTGTGCACCGGACCGAGTCCGATCGAGTTGAGCTCTCTGCTTCCTCAGAGCGCGAGCCGCCAAAGCCGAGTCGAATCTGCCGCTTCCACCCTGAGAGGTGGACGGAGCGGAAAGCACACGCGCCGCTTGTCCATGGTTCCACGAGAACCTCCTGATGAGTTCGGCCTTCAACTCCTGAGAAAACTGCCTCAACCTGTTCGACGAGCACCTTCTGATCGTCGGCGATCTAGAAAAAGACGCTGACGCAGGAGTATCAACTCCATCAGCAGCAACGTTTACATTAGTCGCCGGCTCGACACTTCTGACCACGATCGTGTCATCATCTTGGAGATCAATAGTAACCTCCACAAACTCCTCAACGGAGTTGTATTCCGTCTCCGGCGAGGTGTCGGAACTGACGGTGGTTTTGGCGGGAAGAGTGTCGGTGGACCATCGGCGTTCATGCTTCGGTAACGAACCTCTCATTTGTCAATATCAAAGAAACGGATCCAAGAACGGAGAGAATGGAATTAGGCGTCTCTTACACGGTTGCCACCGCTGCTGCTAATGGGAGAGTGAGAAAGTGAAACGGTTACTGATCAATGAAGAGATACAAATCTGGAAAAATTTAAAGAAGGGAAACGCGAAAGGAATCTGATGGAAAATTACAGGCACGCGGAGCGCAGGTCTAGAAAGAGGGACTAGAGGAAAAGGACAATGCCGGGACCAAGGACAAGCAGGTTTGAATTTATACTGAGAATTTTGTTGGCGGAGCAAAATTTGGTTTGCGATTCTGTGTTGTTTGTTTCTCTCTCTCTCTCCCTCTCTTATCCTTGCTTTCGGTATCACGCGTTTGAACACGAAAACTGGTCTTTTCCAGGAGAAACAGAAATAGAAATATGGAGTAGGGGAGGGATGATAGAGACCGTTGATTTTTGAAGCGAAAGAGTTGACGGTAGAGATGGCGTGAGTCAACTTTCTCTGAAATCACCACGGTAAAATTAATTTTTTTTTTTGTAAGGGATACAACTTGATTTAAAAATATAAATATTTCAGTGATAATTTTTTTATTAAAAATAAAAAATTTTAAATTTGAATCACATGATATATAAATAAAATAAAATAAAAAATTTTATTTTTTATTATATAACTAACATAAAAAAAATTAAACAAAAAAAAGGGGGGGTGCAATTTGAAGGGTAATAAAATCGTAATACAGAAGAGGTAACTCTCACTTAATTATGGTCTTCGCTAACATGTTGAAGCTGGTAGCTAACACGTACTATCACGTAAAATGATGAGTACACTGACCTGCGGGAAAAATGATAATGGCGGCAGTAAGTTTCATTATAACCCCACTACT